TCTCTCTCTCTCTCTCTCTCTATTTCGTTTACTTTTTCTGTCTCCATTTTACATCCCCAGGCCCGCCCCCACAATCGTCACCCCTCTTTTTTTTACACATAGGCCAAGGAGATTAATAGTAAAACTAAGCTCCTTGACATAGGCCTATTCCCTCCCATACCGTAGCCCACTGCCCAGCCCTATTATTAGGCCTATAATTCCACTGGGCGTGCGGCGAGGGGTGCCGCGAAGAGAGAGAGAGAGAGAGAGAGAGAGAGAGAGAGAGAGAGAGAGAGAGAGAGAGAGAGAGAGAGAGAGAGAGAGAGGGGGGGGGGGTCCATTTGTCGTAAGGTCCTTGATTGCAACTCTCCTCTCCCTTATAATCCGTGTCGCAAAAAAAGAGAAAAAAAAACTCCAGTGTAATAATATCATTATATATTATATAAGTGCGTTTTGAACAAGGAAAGAAGAAAAGAAAAAATTAAGCATGTATTATGTATATTATATATTATTTTATTTATGCATGTATGTAATTATACTTTATATATTATTATCTACAATATAATAATATTATTTTATAATATATATTAACTTTTTAATGTCGTACACTTTTCGATTTTAGTTTTGCATTCCTCCAGTTTGCAAGGGTGTTAACTCTGAAAACAAGAATATAATGATTTCGCGGAAGAAATGAAAAGTGAAAACATCAGCATCCTGTGGAAACTGAAATATAAGCCTGAAGTCTAGTAAAATCGAGATGCTTTCCTGACACTTGTGAGTTTAGAGCGAGGGTAGATCTATGCCTATGGAAACTATGAAAATCTACAGTATATTATAGTTTAGATTTTTTTGACTATTCAATACACTAGGCTATAGTCTAGGCACTTCATCAGTGAACGCGCTCACACTATAGCGTCATTTGGCTTCGGAAAGTCCCATAGGGTTTTGTTTCCGGACATGACGTCTCATCGCGACAGTGGGTTCAAACTGCCCATATTTTTGTTTAATTTAGGGGACCAATATTCAAATCCGATACATGTCTTTAAAGACCTGTGGATGGCCTTCAAAACGCTTCTTTCCAGGTCGATGTTCGACTAATGAGTCTCGAAATGAAAGTGGCTATTCTCACCCGCCCGGAAGTTCTCGCAAGACCAACTCCTCCCCTCTTCTCTCTCTCTCTGTCTCTTTCTGAATACTGTCTATCGGTGTGGACGATCAAATTGACCAAAACGAAGTTAAAAAATGATGTTAAAACACAAAAGTAAATCAATTTGGTTGTCTACAAAGATGCTACGGCTATTAAGCTATTTAACTTTTCGAATCGAGCCGAACCAAGCCGACCTACGCGGGTCGCCATTTTGTTTTGCCCGGAAATTCTCGCGCTACTCCTCTCTCTCTTTCTCTCTCTCTCTCCACTGCCCACAGACAAAATTGTACGCATTTAGTAGGCTACAGTTGTAATGGAACGTCTTCACGTCACAGAATTCTACAATTTTTCTGTGATCACAGTGTAGCATTCTGTGGTTTAGGGTGAACGCAAAATTTGGTGAACACGCACCGGGTGAGAATAGCCACAAGACTCGCCTGCACTATTCTCACTCCGGGTGAGAATAGAGGTGGCCTCTCGAAATATAATATTTCAAGTTGAAAAATAGACAATTTTTAACTATTGATTTTTGATAAATTTTCTCGTCATATTTTTTTCAAACTATCCTTGTTGGTAAACCATTCTTTGTTCTTCCAGAAAACGTTTAAATGGTTATCGTAGAAGTCTTACCTTGGCTAGTGTAGTCTTACCCTTTTATCAACCAAATCCGCGAAAACCTAGCTGAACCCTTCCACCGTGACATCGCGCAGAGTCGTGACGTCACGCATTTTCGCCTTGAGCTTTTGGCTCCCTCTCTTCATCGTTTGAAATGTATGAGACAGGGAAATACATCGCCAAGAGATTTTTAAACTTTAGTTCAAAAAGTTAATCAATTTTGGTAATGTTTTAGAAAGTGGCTATTCTCACCCGCCCGAAGTTCTCGCAAGATCAACTCCTCCCCTCTTCTCTCTCTCTCTGTCTCTTTCTGAATACTGTCTATCGGTGTGGACGATCAAATTGACCAAAACAAAGTTAAAAAATGATGTTAAAACACAAAAGTAAATTAATTTGGTTGTCTACAAAGATGCTACGGCTATTTAACTTTGAAAGTGGCTATTCTCACCCGCCCGGAAGTTCTCGCAAGACCAACTCCTCCCCTCTTCTCTCTCTCTCCGTCTCTTTCTGAATACTGTCTATCGGTGTGGACGATCAAATTGACCAAAACAAAGTTTAAAAATGATGTTAAAACAACAAAAGTAAATTAATTTGGTTGTCTACAAAGATGCTACGGCTATTTAACTTTTCGAATCGAGCCGAACTACGCGGGTCGCCATTTTGTTTTGCCCGGAAATTCTCGTGCTACTCCTCTCTCTCTTTCTCTCTCTCTCTCCACTGCCCACAGACAAAATTGTACGCTTTTAGTAGGCTACAGTTGTAATGGAACGTTTGTTCACGGCACAGAATTCTACAATTTTTCTGTTATCACAGTGTAGAATTCTGTGGTTTAGGGTGAACGCAAAATTTGGTGAACGCGCACCGGGTGAGAATAGCCACAAGACTCGCCTGCACTATTCTCACTCCGGGTGAGAATAGAGGTGGCCTAACCGAATCGAGCCGAACTACGTGGGTCGCCATTTTGTTTTGCCCGGAAATTCTCGCGCTACTCCTCTCTCTCTTTCTCTCTCTCTCTCCACTGCCCACAGACAAAATTGTACGCTTTTAGTAGGCTACAGTTGTAATGGAACGTTTGTTCACGGCACAGAATTCTACAATTTTTCTGTTATCACAGTGTAGAATTCTGTGGTTTAGGGTGAATGCAAAATTTGGTGAACGCGCACCGGGTGAGAATAGCCACAAGACTCGCCTGCACTATTCTCACTCTGGGTGAGAATAGAGGTGGCCAATGTTTTATAATCACTGACCTCACATTTGGCCTTAGTTCATTCGATAGTATAAAGAAAATAAAACTTTTTAGACCCAAGTATTTTCTTTTCACTGAGCTCCCCCCTCCCTCCTTTTTCCCCTGCCCAAAGCCTTTCATTGCGTAGGTCTAGGACCTAGATCTAGTATGAAGAGTCCGGACTCGTGTTGTTAACACAGTAAAAAATTAAATTGGGACTCCAATTAAAGTATCTGATGCAATTATTTGCTTGATAAAGTTTCTTAGGTCTATTGTTAGTACCGATCCAGATTTTCTTTCTTTTCTGTCGTATGATCAAGAACGAAAAATGCTATGTACTGGATTGTGGGATCCACTGCATGCCCCCCCCCCCTCTCTCTTTCTCTCTCTCTGTCTCTCTCTTTCTCTCTCTCTCTCTCTCTCTCTCTCTCTGGGTGTGTGTGTGAATGTGTGTGTATGTGTGCGTGTGTG